AAATTAAATAAAAAAACAAATTAATTATTATTCTTACAACTACTATTATACTGTGGCTCTTATGGCCCACTACATCCACCTGTGTTATGGAATTTTTAAGATTTCGGTTTTATTCTTTTTTATCTTAATCATATAATAAAAAATAATTTTTTATTTTTATTTTATTTTATTTATATATTAGGTGACTCAACCTTTAAATTTTTTATTTTTAATAAAAAAATAATTATTAAATTATTTAAATTATTGACTTTTGTTTCCATTTTTAAATGGTTTGTTTTGTTTGAACCTTGAATAATTAGCACAATTATGGGATGTCGGAATTCTTATCACTTTCTATATTTGTGTCGGCAGCGCGTGATCTGTGATAGGGTGGTGCAATATGGATAATTTGTTTGTTTTGTATTTTTATATATATTTTATATATTATTAAATATGTATATATATTTAATATTATGAATTTTATATAAATTAAAAAAATTAATTATTTTAAAGATATATTAAATTGTATAAAAAAATAAGATAAAAAAATTATATAAAAATTATTTCTCTTGTGATAAAATATGTCAAATAAAAAGAAAAATAATTTTAAGATAATTTTTTTGTTTTATTTTTTTGTATAATTTAATGTGTCATTTATTTTATTATTTTTTTTATTTATATGAATTTCGTGATATTAAATATATCTATTCATTTAATGATATGTTAAAAAATGATATAAAAAAATTATCCCTATATCAATATCCAAATAAAACCGTAAATAGTGATTTTCTTTTAAAGATTATCACTATCCAAAGATTATCCCTATATTAAAGTTGTGAATGGTGATGAAACATTATTCTTAAAATCTACTAAAAGTGATTTTGTTTTAATAGAAATGAAAACTTCATAATTTAAGTCGTATGCTTATATCCGTTTAAAACCGTAAAAGTATGAGAAATTCCAAAGTGAAGAAAAATATTATAAATAATCAAATTCCAAACATGATTTCGAAGTCAGAAATCAGGCACTTGAATATCCACATTTCTCAGTAAACTTGAGAAAGCACGATTCAAACATCATCTATTGCCAAATCCCAATTGAAGAAATTCTGTGTAAAAGGAGATGAGCTTAAGCATATGACTATTTGGGGGTTTTTTCAGAAGGTGGAGCCTTTTGAACTGGTGTGGAAGGGTTTGCTGACTCCTCTTCAACAAGCTTTCGCAACCTCTCTTGGAGAGCACGTACCCTGTCCTCGGTCTTGCGGAGCTTTCTCCATCTGTAAGCAGTCCAGAGTCCAAAACCACCATAAACGACTATATAAGAAGCCCACACGTAGGGATAAGTTTCTGCATGCTCTTTGATTTTCCTATACCGTTCTTGTATCATCTCTCCAAGCTCAGCTGCTGGGACACTCACTGTTTGCTCAGATTTTTCTCCTTCTGGCTGACTTGCCATTTTGTTGATATCTTTACAGTGTTTGAAAACCTGTTATAATTGTACTGAGAAAATGACAGAACAAACATTTCTCACCCATTGCCCAATCTTTTGCATAAACAAAAAGCAAACATACAAACAGAATGAACACAATCAGATGAGACTGGACGCATATCAAATTCTCATTGACAATCAATAGTCAATACTCCACAGGCTGCAAGCAGAGAGATGACTTCTTATATGAGTGTTGTAATGCGATTCATCATTTTACAGATTTTGGATTTTTTTTTCCAGAAAATAAGCAGAGACACCGTACCGCAATTATAAAAATCTTATTTCTTGTTTGCGGATGGCATATCCAATAAAAAGTCAAAGAAAATGGAGCATGCAGCCAGTAACAATCTCAAAGGAAATGCACATACGTCCAAGTATCATGCTGATCGACATAAGGATTAGAATTACTTATCATAGAAGCACATCATTAGGAAAATGCATTTGAGACAGATTAATTTCTAACAATCCAATAACTTGTAAAGTAAAATAAAATGGGTGCTGGGGGACTCTTATGCGTGAGGAAAGAATTGGAATCTCACAGCACTTTTCTGTTGCGGACAATTGCCACAGTACTAGTCACCTGCGACTTGAGTAATTAGTGTCTCTCAATAAAGAAGGTGATCATCTATATGTGCCCTTTTAAGGCTAAAAGTAGAAGAACACAAAGAGAAAATCACTAAATTTCTCATAGACAAAACATCAAACACCTTGTATGCATTAAAAACAACTCATCCAAAACACATAAATTCAATCTCAATAATCGTGAAAATTTTACCGAGTTAAACATATTATGAAACACCATTGCTAACAATGTAACCCAGAAAGAGAAAAAGAGGGAAAAGGAAAAGAATTCACCTTTAAACTCCGCTACAACTGCTGAATGAAACCCCCAGAAACAGACCGGCAAAGTATTTTCAATATCACGGAAAAATACCTGAAAATGGAAGAGCCTGATATAATTTCGCAGTTTCCTTTTCGTTCCTAAAATAATGAAGCAGAAAATATGGAAATTGCTGATGCAATAGATTACCTCCGTAGCTCCACATATTGTGGGTTCTGATTATAAAAAGACAATGAATTTTGTTTTAGGGACAATTATATCTGAACGGAGAAGGGAAATGGAGGTAAAATCAGGGTCAGATGGTTGAGTTATCTAATTTCTGCAACTGACATTAATGGAGCATGAAGTTTGCTGGAAGGAAGAAGATGAAGGCGAGATTTGGGAAAGAGAGAGGGTTTTAGAAGTTTTTGATTCTTCCCCTTCTACAGGCCGGAGGGTTTTAGAGCTCGGCTGGGCTGAGTGGGCTGTTTTGGGCTTAGAAACCTCATTTTTAGGTATCGGTTACTGGCCCAAAACACCTGACATTCGTCAAATTTTTCATACAACTTATTATGAATTATATAAAAAATAATAATATTTTTTTATTCTCAAATTACCCTTCATTCAATTCAAGGGTTTATTTTGAGATTTTTAATTTAAAATGATAAATTCTTCATTGCGTTTTTTTTTATAAAAATAATAGTTAATAAATTAATATTATTAGATATTAATAACTAAATATTTAATTTTTAAATTTGATGAATAACCTATTAAATTTGATGAATAACCTATTAAATTATGAGACACACAATTATTAGATTACTTGGTGGAGTTCACAAATTCTTCATAGTTGAACCTCGCCAAATGTTAGGAAATTTTCCTATTCAACCCTTTTCCTCATTCTTGTTACCCGATATTTACCTTTGTACACATTATTTTCTTTTTTTCTTTTCTTTTTTTTTTTTTGTCTTTTTCCCGAGCCTGTAGTGAGTTACCGATTGAGTTTGAAAAGGTCAAATCTTTGATGATTATATCATAATGACTGAGTTGCAAAAACTCCGGCATATGTCTCTTTATCCGGTTGAAAATTTTTAATTAAATGAATGAGTAGTAATATAAGAATAATGTTTTTATATTATTTTATATATAATTTTTATATATTATTAAATAAATATATATTTAATATTATAAATTTTAAATAAATAAATAATTATTTATTTAAATAATACATAAAATTATATAAAAATAAAAAAAAATTATCTTAAAATTATTTTTCTTTAAAGAACCTCTTTTTAGTTAATAACTTTTATAATTATTTTTAAAATTATAAATTTATTATCATATCGTAATATTAAATAAATATATATCATATTATAATTACTTTTTTATAAACATATAGTATTATAATTATATTATTTTTATTATATTAATAATTTTAGGTACCTATAGTTTTTGGCTTTTTGCCTAGCTTTTGAACACGGGCAATATTAAAGAGGAAATAAGTTGCAATTAATTTATTGTCTTCGGTAGGAGGACAACAGAAGGGGACAAAGTTTTCTATTTGGACTAAAAAATTTGAGATGAGAGGAGACAAGGAAGGAAACAGCTTTCTTTTATTTCTTTTTATAATTTTAACATAACTAAATAAGGGAAAAGAATATCCTTGTGATCCGGTAAGTATCTCGTTTTTATAAAGAATTTTTCATGTTAAAATTTAAAGGGATTAATGTTTATTTGTTTTATTTTTAAAAAATTAATTTAAAAAATTATTTTAAAATTAAGTAGTTTTAATAAAATATTTTAGAAAATCAATGACTTAAATAAATCAGTAATAAATTTTTTTCACTGAAAATAAAAAATCTTGATTTTGAATTTATGACATGTGAGTAAAATAAGATAAAATATAAAAAAAAATTATCTTCCGTTATGCAACTAACATAAAAAATATATATTACAAGAAATGATAAAAAAAAATATTTTAATTTATACTTTAAAAATAAAATATTTTAATTTTTTTAATAAA